GTTGGGTCCTACAAAATAAAGGTTCGGGTCATTGGAAACAGAGCTTTAGAGATGGTTTGCAAATCCCGCCGGCTGACCAGTTTATGCTCAGTGACAGTCACGGGCCCTCACTCTCTCAGGGAACACACACACAGCTCACAAAGTAAAGCAGCCAAGTGGCCAGGACAAAGCACACCGAGGACGGGGAGCTAGGGAGCACCGCCCTGCCTGCACGGCCCCACCGCCAAGGCAGGTGCGGGAGAACAGGCCAGTGACCCCGGGCGGGGAGCGCCCTGCCGGCCGGAGGGGCCGCGGGGCGGACACGTACGTAGAAGGCACAGTCCAGGACGGCGCCCGAGTGCTGGTACTTGAGCCGCAGCGAGTTGGCCGGCACGTCGTAGAGCCGCACCGACGTGTCCCAGGACGACACGAGCAGGAACTGCGAGGTGTTGGGGCTGAACTTCACCGAGGAGATGCCGTCCTCGGGCGGCTGGTTCAGCTTGAACTCATTAGAGCCGGTCATCTGCGGGGCGAGCGCGGGTCAGAGGCCCGGGACGGGGGACGGGGGACGGGGACGGGACTGGGGGGCTGGGAGCTGGAGACGGGAGCTGGGAGCTGGGGACGGGGCTGGGGATGGGGGACCGGACTGGGGAACTGGGGAAGGGGCCGGGGGACGGGAGACGGGGGCTGGGAGCTGGAGACGGGGGCTGGGAGCTGGGGACGGGGGACGGGACTGGGGAAGGGGACAGGAGACTGGGGCTGGGAGCTGAGGACGGGGCTGGGAGCTGGGGACGGGGCTGGGGGGCTGGAGACGGGGGACGAGGAAGGGGGCTGAGAGCTGGGGGGTGGAGACGGGGGACGGGGTCGGGGGACGAGGGCTGGTAGCTGGGGGACTAGAGACGGGGTAGGGGGACGGGGGACGGGGCTGGGGGGCTGGAGACGGGGGACGGGGGACAGGGTCGGGGGACGGGGAACAGGGCTGGGGGGCTGGAGACGGGGGACGGGGACGGGGACCGGGTCGGGCCGCCGCGCCTGCGCAGAGCCTGCGCGCCCACCGTCGGGACTCCCCTCCCCCCGCCGCCCCCAGAGCGCCCAGCCCCCGGCCGCTCCCCGCACCCCGACTCCAGCCCCGCGGGGCCCTGCACCCGCCCCGCCGCGGGCTCGCGCCCGGCCCGTCCCCCGGGGCCTGCGGCCCGCATCTCCTGAAAGGAAAGGCAGCGGAGGGAGGGAGCGGGCTCCCCGCGGACGGCCCAGCAGCCCCGCGCCCGGGGAGCCCGGCGCGCCCCGCCGCCCGGCCCGTACCTTGACTTCCCCGCGGAATCCACTGGGCCGCCCCGCCGCCGCGCCGCGCTCCCAGCTCTAGCGGGCTGGACCGAGTAGGCGGGGAGGAAGCTCCGGTGCTCGCCTACCATTGGCTGATTTCAAACGCCAACGTCTCAGTCTAGGCAGACGATTGGCCTGCTCGGGCGTCGGTCAACCAGTCATCCTCTTCCGGCTCAAAGGCAAACGCGGCTTTTCCGATCATGTGGTCTCGCGGTACCGCTAAGCTGAGGCGCCTCCCAGCTAGTGCTGACCGAGTGAAAACTACAACTCCCAAGGAGCATCGCGCCAAGACAGGGTTTACGCCTTCTCAGACACGTGTGCGGCACGCTGGGAGATGGAGTCTCCCTGGGACCGACGTCCTTCCAGTCCTCTAAATACTAACCAGGAGGGAAAGATGCTCTTTGGGGTTCGAAGCATAACTCCCTCTTCATCTGAGTTAATTTCGCAGACACAAGAACCCCATTTTGGTCATTATTTCTATAGAGCTGAATTATTCTCCCTTTCACTGGACATACATACACTCATGAAGTTAACCAAAAATTGGAATAGAGAAGGAAATATTGTCTCTAATGAATTGCGTTATTATTTTCCTGGAGTTTCCACCTATGAACCAGCGTCTCTCATTTCCTGTTGATCTAATAGAAACTCATACATATTTATACTATGCTTTATCTCTCCATTGCATCCTTCCACAAACATTTGAGTGCCTACTGTGTGCCAGGCTTGGTGAAGGGCTGGGAAGATGCATTAATCAGACCGTCCTTGCTCTGGAGGAACTCCCTGTCCAGAGGGGTGGACAGACTGGAGAACAGATAATTTGCAATGTGTTAAAGTTCAAAAGCTTCTTTTAGACATACATTAAAATAGGGTATTAAAATGCCAGCTCTAAGCTTCTCTACCCACCCCACCCACACCCAGAATTTTGAGCTCGGTTTGCTCTATTTTCAGTTTCTAGAATCCTCCACAAATAGAATAATCAAGAAGGTTGCCTCTGTAATAAGAAATAATTTGATCTCCGTGAAAGAAAAGCAATACTTAATTTGTAACTAGAATGCTGTGACTCAGTTACTCTTAAATACCAAAAACACTGAAATTGTTCAAGGTGACTCATGCTATAACCTCTTTTTCACTTCCTTTTGTGGGGAAAAAAAAATCTCATCTGATTACGTAACTTAGTATAAAGTGAGAGGAAATTGTTGAGGTTAAAGTGACTTTTAAGGTGCATGGATAGAGGGAAAGAGTTTGGTCTTTACGCATTCACTCAAGCTGACTCAGGTGCAATTCCTTTTCTAATTCTAGACACAATAAGCACAGAAACCACCACTCTTCTCCCCACTGGAGAGTAATACCTCTGCTCAAAGGTCAGATTCTTGCCCTCCCTCCTCACCAGCCCTCACACTGGCTTCTCTATCTCTTCTCTTTCAACAAGTTAATGGCTAGGTTAAGAATTTTAAAATACAGTGCCTTGACTCCATCCTAACGTTAGCTAAATAATTTTATACCCAAATAATTTTATTTAGTTCCTTCTCCCCATCGCTTATTTAATTATATTAGTGCTTGGAGATTCTGAGCATGAATTACCCACTAATAAAATCTAAGTGTATTTCATTATCTATTGGGCGTATGATTCAGGTCCCTCTGGGCATGCAGTTGCAACCAGACTCCATTTGAGTTTTGAGAAACGTCAATCTTTTAAATCCAGTTTAGACCCCAAAAGGAGGCTGGTGATTTGGCTGATTATTCAAATGAATTGATGGTCATGAGCTAGGAGATCTGGCCAAGATGGAGTCTTGGACAACATTTTAAATCCAAATGCAAGGCTGTGTGTGTGTGTGTGTGTGTGTGTGTACCAGTAAGAGAGAGGAATTCCTAGAAACTAATGACTGTTGGACCCTGCTGTCTGCTAATCTCCAGGTTGGTAAGAAAGTGAATACCCACCACATGACAATCTGTAAAGGGGTCGCCCCTAAAATCCGAAGGGCAACTTGGCCATTCAATGAGCCCAGTGGCCAGAGGAAACCACTTGCTGTGAGAGAAACCCACATTTTTAAACCATCACCCCGGAGAAGGATAATCTGCTGGCCTGCAGACAACAGCGATGCGGACGGGCTCTTCCTGTGCGAGAGGTCCCTGGAAAGCAAATCGGTTATTTCTGCATGAAATGCTCAAACAACACATTCAGAGGAAAGGGAGAATTTAAAGTGTGCAGTTGGGGAAGGGAGGAGGTCCTTGAAATAAAATATGGGTACCAGCCCTGGCCGGGCAGCTCCCGGTCAGAGCATCTTCCTCAGACACTGGAAGTTTCTGCTCCATCTCTGGTCAGGGCACACACCAGCATCAGCCAATGGACACGTCCGTAAGTGGAACGACAAACCACCTCCCTCTCTCTCCTCTCTCTCTCTCTTTCTCTCTGTCAGTAAATAAAAATATGTGTACCAAATACATCAGGAGGAAATGGACCAGTGTCACTGTTCTCTCCCTCCGAATACCCCACATTTAGCATAGTTCTCAGCCAGCAGCAGGGCCAGTAACTGCTTATTGAATTGGACTCAATTGAAATGAAATGGATGCACCTGAACGGACCCAGGATTGGCAGAGGTGTTCTTGGGTACCGTCCTTCCGGTGTCGCCTCGAAATAAATTGTGGTTTTTATGAAATCTCATGTGAGAAGGAAAAAATAGGACCTCAATCTGGACAAGAAACAGCCTGTTGTGGTGGGGGGGGGGGGGGTTGCAAGTATTCCGTACACATGCTGCCTTCCTAGACAGGAAATCGCTTCCAGGATGTGAGCTTCCCGCACCTTTGCACCCGCTAAGGGGGTCCCCGTTTCCCCCACTCCCCCAACCCACACCCCTGTCTGGAGCTCGTTTCACGTGACACCAAACACCAGCCACCCCTGAACTCAGGCTTCCTCTTCAGACCAGGAACCGTTTTAGCAGGAACAGGTGGCTGCGATCCGCCCTGGGAGAGATTTGCATGCGGCTCCCGCGCTGTTCCCTGGGCGCCTCACTTTCCTCGCGGGCACCCGCGCCCGTTGGGGCCGGAGGTCCGCGGGCGCCCAGGCCTCCCCGGCTTTCCTCCACGCGGGCAGCCGCGCGCTGACCGCGACCCCATTATTCAGCCGCACACAATGCGGACACCCGCCAGCAAAACAGCCAGAGAGGTGCCCCCCCAGCCTCGGCCCCCCGCACCCCGCGCCCCCTCTCCTGGGGTCCAGCGCAGACCCCCCCTCCTCCGCCGCCCAAGCGCCCGCTCCCCGCGCTGCACGGAGCGCCCCGCTGAGCCACCCGCCGGGCATGGCCTGGCCGCGGACTGGGGGCGGCGAAGGGGCTCGGGACCCGGTCCAGGCCGCGCCCCCACCTGCCCTGCGCCCCGGAGAGGCGCCCGGGTCCAGGGCTCACCGAGCCGCGCGCCGCCCCGGTGCTGCCCAGCCCAGGCGGCCCGTGCCGGGAAGGCGCTCTCTCCCTCCGGTGCCGCCCCGCCGTGTCCCTCTCCGCACCGGTTTCGAACTGGATTCGGGGTGTGGAACGGGGTGCCATCCAGCTCACGTGGCGCCAGCTAGCATCCCGACCCTTAACCCCTGACCCCGGCCCCGCCCTCACCCGGCGGGTCAGCCTTCTTCTACACGCCCCCAACCCCTCCTCCCCAAGCGGGAACCCCTCCACGTGCCAGCAGCCACCACAGCCAGCGAGGATGCTTAAAGTGGTTTATTTCCTTTTCTTTAAAAATATGTACAGATCTGGAACCTCACCTTCGCCCCCGCCCCTCCTCGGGAAGAGGGAAACGGAAAGGCGGCGCGGAGGTCACGGTCCGAGGCGCCGGGGCCGTGGCGGACTGGGCGCAGGGACGTGTGTGCGGAGGCGGAGGGCGCGGAGGCCGGGCTGGTGTTTCCCTGTTTGTCTGGTTGGCTTCTCCCCAGCGATCCCGCCGGCCCGGCCGCTTTTCCCACCGCCCCGGGAGGACACCCCTTCCCGCGGGTTGTCCAGCCTCCCGGTTGGTTTGGGGCAGAAGCGGGTCTGGCCCGAGGCAGACCCATAAGCCCCCAAAAGATCCACAGGAGAGAGGGGGGCAGAGGCCATAAACAGGAGGTAAGGAATACACACGGTGTATTTCTCGGTGTTTCTGGCCGCTCGCCGCCCGCTCGGGAGCTGGAGCCGCCCTGGGATCGCGCTGGGGGCTCCCGGCGGCGGGCCTGGGCGCAGGGCCGGGGCACCGGGGGCGCGGGGCGCCGGGGGCGCGAGGCCGGGCGCATGGACACGCGGTCAGTAGTCCAGCTTGTTGTACAGGCCGTAGAGCGGCAGGGCGGGCAGGCTGCCGCCGCCGGGGTAGTAGAGCGGCGCGGGGAAGGCCAGCGAGCGCGGCACGGGCACGCGGAGCAGCGAGCTGTCCCGGAGCACGAGCGGCAGCCCCACCAGAGTCTGCGCCGACGCGTGGGCCATGTTGGCGGCCTCCAGCTCGGCCGAGAGCTGGCGCTTCCACTTGTTGCGGCGGTTCTGGAACCACGTCTTCACCTGCGTCTCGGTGAGCTGCAGGGAGGCGGCCAGGCCGGCGCGCTCGGCGCTGCTCAGGTAGCGCTTCAGGTCGAAGGTGGACTCGAGCTGGTAGACCTGGCTGCGCGAGAAGACCGTGCGCGTCTTCTTCTTGGCGGCGCCCGCCGGCCGCTCCGCGCCGCCCTCCCGCGGCCGCTCGGGGCCGGGCGACGGCGAGCCCGCGGGCCGCAGCCGCTCCTCCTCCTTACAGTCCGGGTGCGGCGGGAGGAAGGGCAGGTGCGGCGAGCCGGCCGGGCCCGCGCCGCCGCCGGCCTTGGGGGCGCCTGGGGGGGAAACAGACAGGGAGGCCGTGGGGACGGGGCGCCTTGGGCTCCCCCGGCGTCGGCCGCCGCCCCCTCCCTCTGGCCGGCGCCCGCAGCCCTGGGCCCGCGCCCGGCCTTTAAGAAAGTCCTGGGACCCGCTGCCAGCCCGGGCTCTGCACGCCCGTCCCGGAGAGGGGAGCGCGGGCGGGGAGCGGGGCCGCGTTCGGAGGCGGCTCTGCCCGGAAGGAACGGGGCCGGGGAGCTCCCGGCTTTATGGGGCGGCGCCGCATCACAGGCCGTTTGTCCGGGGATCGCTGAGGACTAAGCGGGGCTGCCCGTCCGCTGCCGTGAACGGGAACGGCCCCTGAAAGGAGCTATTGTCAACGTGCGACCGGGCTCCTGCCCGCCAGGGTGGGAGGAGAGGGGACGAGACAATGAGCCGAGGGACCGCGGGGGCGAGCGGTGTCCACGCGCTCCGGGGCCAGCGAGGGCCGGCACCCTGCCCGCCCGGTCCCTCTCCCTCTCCCTCTCCCTCCGCCCGGTCCCCCGCGACCGCCCCGCGCCCCGGTCCCTCCCCAGCGCCCGTGGGGCCCAGCGCGCGCGCCTTCTCCCCTCGGACCCGGGACCCCGGGCGGCCAGGGCTCCGGCTAGCGGGGCCGCCGCAGAGCACAGGTCCCTCCCCCGGAGCGCGCGGCCGGGCGGCGGTCCTTACCCAGGCCGGGGAAGGGGATGGGGGCGTGGCGCCGGGCGCCCGGCTCCGTGGGGCCGCGCGGGTCGGGGCAGAAGCAGGCGGGCGCCTTCCAGCCATCGTCCGGCTCCTCCTCCTCCGAGGACACGGACAGGCTGCGCGTCCTGGCGGGCCAGCCGGCCGGCTCCCGCGGGGCCTCGGAGGGGCCCCCGCCCAGGATGGACTGGATGGAGAAGCTGGAGACGCCGGCCGCCGGGCACCTCTTGCCCGCATCTTCCTTGCTGCCCATCCTGGTTCATAAGAAACCGGAGGAAACGAGAACGCCCTTTAGAGACGGTCGGCGGGAAGGTGGTGCGGGAAGGCGGCGGGGGAGGGGCGGGAGGGGGTCAGGAGGAGGGGGCGCGAGGCTGGCGGGCGGCCCTGCGCGCGGGGGACGCGGGCCCCGGACGCGGCGCGGGGTCCCTGCCCGCGGGCTCTGGTGGCCCGCCCGGCCCCGGCGCGGACGCCCCCGCTCTGCCCGCGGCGCTCCGGGCCCGCGGCGGGCGGCGGCTCATTTGCATAGCGGTCCGCGGGACGCGGCCAATCGCAGCGCCGCCGAGCGGCCCCGGACATTTTCAAAAAGCCGAGGCCGGGCCCGCCGCGCCCGTGCTCCCCTCGGCGCGCCCACGGCCGGGCGGGCACTGCGGGGTCCAGCCGGGGCCGCCGGGCCCGAGCGCCGCATCCCTCCGGACAGGCCCTGGCCTCCGTGCGGCTGGACCGGACCCGCGGGCCGCGCCTCCTCCGCGGGCCGCGCCTCCTCCGGGGGCCGCGACTGCGAGCAAGTCCGGTCTGGCGAGGCCCGACTCCCCCCGCAGGCGACGGGTCCGCGCCCCCGGAGAGCCAGCGCGGGCTGCTCCACGACCCTCCCCAGCCTCCGCGTCCGGAGCCAGCAGGCTGGGAGCCCCCAGACCCCCGCGCCCCTGGGGGGAGGAGGAGGGGGCGGAGCCTGCGCCTGGGAGCTGCCGCGCTCCCGGGAGCTCAGCTGTGAAGCCTGGAGCCGCTCCCGCTGCCCTTTCTCCTCCGCAGGCCCCACCCCCATCCCAGGTCCCGGGCACCGCGGGGCCGTCTGGGTGGGTGGGCCCGGCAGGGGCGGAGCCCCGGATCCTGTTTCCAGAGACCCCGGGTCCATCCCAGCGCCCCGTGGGCAGCGAGGACTCGGACAATCCAGTCCCACCCGGGGGTTCCTGGCCTCGGATGGAAAGTGAACCCCTCGTTAGTGCGCTCCCCTCTTGTTTCGGGGGTCACCTGGAGTGGGAACGGAAACGCCCTGGCGAGCGCACAGTAGGAGCTCTCCTAGGGGCACCGGGAGCGCACAGTAGGACGTCTGCAGACCTTGGCTGGCTGGGCCACACCCATCTGGTCCATTTTGCTCTGGCTGTTTTCTCCCTCTTTGCAAATATCGGAGGAGGCGGGACTGCTGGCCCAAACAGCGCTGGGCTCCGGGGAAGGAGAGGGGCGGGCGGGGAGGGGCGGAGGGGACGTGGTGTTGGAATTGGGCAAAGCCGCTTCCCTCTGGCCTGGGAGGCCTTACCAGGAACCTTAAACTTCCTGGGCCTTGTCTCCTCCTCTGAAAAGTGGGGGAGCAACGCCTACCTCGAGGAAGCCCGGAGGCCGCAGTGCCCACTCCTGGCCCGGCACCCAGTAGGCACTCGGAGGCCTGGCTCCTCACAGCCCCCCGAGGGAGGCCTGGCTCTCGCCCCTCTCACCCCCAGGTCAGTTGTTCCTGGACCCAGGACGGCTGGCCTGAGGCAGAGGCGGCCTGGGCGCGGTGTCTACCGAAGCTTCTAAGGTGAGGAGAGGCCCCCAGTGCTCAGGCACCCCCACCTCCCGTCTGCGGCCTCGCCTCCCACCGACCCCGAAGCCCTGCCCCCTGAGTCCCCAAACGCAGCTCCGGGTCAGTCCCCGCCCGCACCCAGGCCCTGAGGCCCTGGGGCCCTGACCGCGAGCTCCCTCCGCGCCCGCAGCGCCCTTTGGAAGCCCGGCGCTCCGGGCACCGTTAGCCGCGGGGAGGGAGCACCGCGGCCGGCGGCGGCGGGCCTCTCCCTCCTCGGCTCCTCCGGGGCTGGTTAATGGGCTAATTGATTAGGAGTCTCTGCGCAGCCGGGCGCGGGCCGGCGAGGGCGGGGGCAGGCTGTGCGCCTGGCCCAGAGGCCAGCGAGGGGCAGGTGCCGGCCTCAGTCACCCATTAACCTCTTCGGGGAGCGGCGGCGGGCGGAGACACATTACAAATGGTCAGCTTTCATCACGCTGTCAGCTCATTAACCCGGAAGGACCCGGCGCAGGAACACAATTTGCGTGGCCTCCTCGGCTCGGCCACAGTGCGCAAGCTCCGGGGCCGCGGGGCGGGACCCTCACCCGCTCCCACCTGCTTGGGGTGGAGGGGAGGGTCCTGAAGGAGCACCCGACTTCCTCACCCGCCCGCGGCCTCTCTGCGGGCCACAGCACCCGCACTGGGCGCCCCGCACTGGGAAGAGGGCGGGAAGAGGGGGTAGGGCCCCTCTGCGCGGGTGGAGACCTGGTGCGGGACCAGGCGCGCATGGGGAACATCCCTGTTCTCTGGCCCTTGGACCCTCACAGCAAACCCAGCTGCAGGCCCTGCCCCGATGTCAGGGCGGGAAACGGGCTCCAAACAGCAGAGTGAGCAGCCTCAAGTTCAAGGTGGCTCCGCTGTGAAGACCAGGCCCCTGGCTTTGGGCTTAGGGGATGGCTGCGAAGGAAACGAAGACCCTCCCCACTCCGGACGTGGGGGGTGGATCTGTGTGTGGGGTCAAGGGCTGGGGGTGGGGTGGCCAGGTCTGTGGGGTGGGCCTAGGAGAAGCACTAGGCGACAGGGGACTCTACCTTGGAAACAACCGGCCTGGCGACCCAGGGCCTCTCACCCCGCACAGGCCCCGCCCCGCGAAAGGAGCCATCCTGCCGCTACCCGCCTGCTGGCCACGCCCACTCGCAGGGCCGATCTGGTCCACCCAGAGGTGCGCTCCCGCCAACTCCTTGCAGCCTCCTTCACCCCACCCCACACCCTTCGTCCGAGGCTCCGGCTTTGAGCAGCTGGCACGCACTTGCACAACCGTTACACACACGCATACATGCACACGCACACATGCACACGCACACGCACACGCCTCCACACCAAACAGGGCGCAGAGTGGAGTCAGGGATGCAGGCGGAGACTGGAGAGACCTCTGGCTCCGACCTCCTGGCCTCTGCTCTGCCCCGCTCAACTAGTCCCCTGGGGGCCTCCCCCCTGTGCACCGCCCGCAGTCATACGCATGCGCTGGGGGCCAAGACGCGACCTTCCCGCCCTCCCTGGGGCATCCGAGGGTCCCCCAGACTCCACGGAGCGCGCAGGGGCCCGCGCAGCTGCAAAGCACACCTTCAGGAGCCCGCCCGGGCTCCCGGCTCCTCCATAAAGGATCTCAGTAAGTTCGTGTTCCAGGCCTCAGCCACCAGGTCTCCATCCTGCGTGCGCCATCCTTCACCTCAGAGCCGCCTGCGACCCCCCACTCCCCCAGCCTCCTCTCCTCCGGGGAGCGGGTCCCTCCCAGCTCCACTCCGTCCCCAGCCGCTGCTCCTCGGGAAGGGGGCCGGGTGGACCGCTCCCTGGAGGAATGATGCTGAGGGGTTGGGAGGAAGGACAAACTTTCCCAGGCCGGAAGGACGCTTCCAGCGTGGCCTGGAGATTAGGCCGCTGCTCAGTGTTAACCCGGCCCGGAGCACACTCGCGGAGGCGGCTAATAAAAATTGATCCTCCGCGCTCGGCAGCGGGCCCTGGGCCGGCTGAGCGGTAATAGCGGAGAAGGCTCGCGGGGAAATGACAGATGAAGTCATAAACAAGTTTGATCTTGGAATCAAGCTTCGATAAATATTAAACACAGTCTGAAACCCCCCCCCCCCTTCGCCGGTGGATTATGATATATGGCGCGTCCAAACTTTAAAATAAGGAAATACCAGAGAAAATGATCTCAATAAATTTTCTAAGTATAAACGTTGATTATGTTTCGATTTTCATTCAAGGGCCTCTGCTGTTCGTTCTTTGGTGCAAATGACATCTCGCAATGGGCTCTGGGGGCGGGGGGGCTCCCTCTTTGGGAAAGAGGGTCCAGAGGTGGACAATTTATGTAATCTGCGGCTGGAAAATGAATTCTGTAATTTATTGGAAAACAGAAAGTCCCGAAGATTGGATCAGGAGCGGCCGAGCCCCGGCACCCCGCCCCCACCCCCCATCCATCAAGTTCCAATTAACAGCCTAACCAGAGAGCCTTAATGGGTTTCCAATCTAGTGGCCCTGATAGACTCATCAATTCCTCTGGGAGAAATTAAGAAAATCGACCGCCCCTTGGCGACGCAGTGTCATTCCTTTCTGCAACTATATGTCAAATTAAAAACACAATTAAAATTTAAACTGTTTCAATCAAAGGGTGCCCTGCAACCTATGTTTCACTTAATAGAACTTTGATGAAAATCTGATGCGTGCACTCCGTCACCCAGGGGGGCGGGAAGCGCAGGAGGGAAGGGGATTCTTGCTGTTTCTTAGGATGTTGGCGCCTGGGCGAGGCCCGCCAGGTGAGTACCCCTCTGGCTCCGGCCACGTGATGGGGGGGGGGCTCTGGCCACGTGATGGGGGCACGGGCGCTATGGGCGCGCTCCCACTGCCAGCTGGACACTTGCCCCCACCCCCCACCCCTTTCTCCCTTCCGTCCATCCACCGCAACCGAAAGGGATCCTTTGGGAACCCTAGCCACACAGATTTGGGGAATTTCACCCCCGAGATGCATGGCCTATAGCAGCGGCGGCAGAGGGAGGCAGCGCAGCCCTGTGCACAGCGGGGGATCTCAGAGGAGGCACGGGACCTGCCGTCCTCCTCGTCTCACGTCTTGGGGGTTGCTCTGAGCCCATGAGCTGCTCCGGCACTTGGAGGCCCAGGTGGGAGGAACCCCAGGCGGAGACGTGAGCCCCTTGGTTGTGGCTCTGGCCTCACTCAGGACTCGGGCCAAGGCGGCTTCAAAGTGCAGCGGCCTAGTTCCCCCAGGCCGTTCCATCCTTCCGCCACCGGCGCCTCACTGTGCCCGGGGTGAGGGCCCCCTCCACCGCTCACCACGCCGGGAGCGCGCGCACACGGGCGCACACAGGCGCGCGCTCCCGGAGGCGTGTGCACAGACCCCAAAGCCGGGAGGGTCTGCGGGCCGCGCGGGGCGGGACAGAGTGGGCGGGAGCCAGGAGGAGGAGCCGGCGGATGGCCTCCGCCGGACCCCTAGGGGCCCCCGGGGGCTGCCCGGCTGCGTTCTGGACCCCAGACGGGGGTGTCCGTGGGGCTCCCGGGTCGTGCAC